GGTTGTTATCTATTGGTAACAACTCAACAAATGTTATTGGGGTTAAGTGCTGGATGCAGGACTTGAATTTTGGACCCGATTCCAAGTCCAGTGCTCTCTGTTTCACAAAAGTACTAATGCTTGGACCAGACTCATTTATTGATTCCAGCCCAGGGTTCTAGTCTCCATCTTATACTTTCTCCTTTCTAGAACCATAGGATGGGAAAATCAGGTTTATAGGTTGTGTTTGGAAGGGGCCTTAAAGCTCACCTACCGTGATCACTTACATATGAGGAAATGAAGGTTGAGTTATCCAGGCTTATAGGACTATTAAATGGCAGAGTTGGGCCCAGGTCTCCTGACTCTGCCTCCCACTCAGCATTCAAACCTACGTGCAGAAAAATGTGTGATTATGCAAGAGACTAAAAACAGGCATCTTCTTTAAAGACTCCTGAATGCTGGTGGGTGCATGATTTCTATTCATCAAAGGTGAAGACGGGGTCTAATTCCTTTGTCACAAAGGGTGTGACATTTTCTAAGAGGACAGACATTTAGCAGTGTGCCATAGGTGAGGCAAGAGGCTGGGTAGACTACAGAAGAAAAAAAAAATCAAACGAAAACCAAGGCTGTTGAATTGAACTCAGCTGTTAAAAGCAGAAACTTTGACAAGTGAAAACCTTTCACATCTTGGTGGGAGAGATGGACGGCACTGAATGATAAAGGTCATTGTCAGTGCTTCTTCTGAAATGCCTCATCAAATAGAAACCATCACTGCCAAAATTAACACAGACAAGATCTCATTCACTGCTTCTTTCACCAAGTCCCCCACCCACCTCTCCCCTTTCTGGCACAGTTATTTCTACTATGTAGTCACGGAATGTGAATGGTGGGAGGGACCTTAGAATGAAGAGCCGGAAGGAACATTAGAACACAGAGTGGAAAAGCCGGAAGGGACCTTTGTAGAACGTCAGAGATGGAAGGAACCTTATAATGTGGAGCAGAGGGTGTCAAACACGTGGCCCTTAGCTCATAGTACTCACTCCCAAGTGTGGCTCAAACCAAATTAAAATGTACCTAGAAAATATTTAACAAAATAAATAAAAACATAATAAAACAGATAGTATCAATAGGTGGTTTTCTAAGTCAATGCATGGTCTAAAAGGATTGCTCTGTATGGTTGGGTGGCTTGTTTCTTCTATTGGAGTTCAATCCCACTAATATTGAATGTCAGAACTAGAAAGGTCCTCAGAATGTAAAATGTTAGAGTTGGGGGAGACCTTAGAATGGGGGACATTAGAGGTGAAAGGGCCTTTGATCACGGAATGTTAACACCAGAAGGAAGCTTAGTTAGTTAGTCTAATCCCCCGCTTTTTTTTTTTTTTTAATGGATCAGGAAAATTTAGGCCCAGAGACGAAAGAACTTGCTCAAGGTCACACGGCATGTCCTGAGCGCTACTTCACACGTTTTTGGGGTAACATTCCACACTGACACAAAGGGACACTCTTGGCAGTGGGATCGCTGGCATGTACCCACGTGGGTCACATACTAAGCAACAGGTGGGCTAATGCTCTCAATGACAGCCTTCACTCCCCCCAAAAACCCAGAATGCAGGCAAGTGCTTATTTTTCTCCAGAGCTAATACTAGGGGCGGACAAAGTAGACAGCTTCATAGAGCACAATGAGTTAGAGGGGGCAGTAATAATAATAATTGATATTTTATAAATTTCTAAGGTTTGCAGATCAAACCTTAAAATATATTATTATATGTAAACATCATTATATTAAAAATACATATGTATATCTGTATATATGTACATATATTACTGGATATGAGTCATTTTGACATGACTTTATACAGGCATGCATATTTTTAATGCCAGAAAAGCCTACTCTCCCTAATCCACAAGGATGCATGTTACATTTCCTGCATGCATCATGACCGTTTGCCTGGGGTACCCAAATGCCTTGTATGGGTTCCACCACTCCGCTTCCTACTTTCAGCAGCCTGGACTTATTTTGTACATGTTGCACATGGTGGGGACCTCATAAATGTGTGTTCAATGAATAGTAGAAATCATACAAGGATATAGAGATACTATACAAGGTCACCTACTGTCTCACAAGTACCATTTCAATTGCTTTTGACCCTTATGAAGGGCCTACGATGTGCAAGGCCCTCTTCTAGGCACTGTAGATACAAAGATAGACACAACATAGGCCCGGCTCTCCAGGAGCTAATGCTCTAACTTGGGGGTCTGAAATGGAAGGGGAGAGGACAAATACACAAAGAAATGACACAAGGCAAAATGAGGTCGGTTCAAAGATCCTAGGCAAAGTACCACAACTGGAGGAAGGGGAGATCAGTTTCCCCCAGGGAAGTTACCTGAACTAGGCTTTAATAGGTAGAGTTGAGGAATTCATTCTCCCACTTCTCCACCAGAAGGGTTCTATCTCCTCAGCTTTGTCAAACTACTCGTCTTGATGGTTCTCCAAGTATTAACTGAGCATCCACCCTAGACTTGACCTGAATACTCTGGGTAAGCATGGAACACCTGCTCTGCCCTCCCTCAAGGAATCCACAAGCCACTGGGGAGAGATGAGATGTACAAATGATACGTACAGGATGCGTCCATGTGAAAGTATGGGTCCAGCGGAGGTGACACTTCAGCTGGGCCTTTTGTTTTCAGCACAGGGAAACAGCACGAGCAAAGGAGATAAGAATATGGACGACTGGGTGGGGGAGAAAATTTAAAACTCAAAATCTTATGGACTGAGTTCAAATCTGGCCTCAGACACTTGACACTTACTAGCTGTGTGAACGTGGGCAAGTCACTTAACCCCGACTGCCTCACCAAAAAGCAAAAAAAAAAAAAAAAAGTCTTATGGAAATGTTGCAAACTAAAAATAAATAATCATTCACACACACACAAACTATTGGAGACACTGAGGTCTTGGTTCAAATTCCACCATAGCCTCTTGCTACCTGTGTGACCTAAGGCAAGTCACATCATGTCTCTGGGTCTGTTTGCTTTTATAAAAGGAGAGGATTGCACTAGATGTCCTCTGAGGTTCCTTCTCGCTTTAGATCTGTGATCCCAAGAAGGCCTTCCATCCCGGGAAGTCCAGCAGAATTTGCATTTCACTGGCATGACTTGACCGCTGCAGTGGTGAGCGTGAGACCAGCTCAATACTCTTAACCCGGAGGCACATTGATGAGGCGGGAGACAGCAGAAGCTGCGTTTATTAAGTGCTAGTAACTTTCTTTTATATCCTTAGTAACACCTGATCAAAGCATGATCTCCACGTGATAACCAATCACCAAGTCTGCTGGACACCTGCAGCCCTCGTGTCAGGGGTATGAGTAGGACTTTTCTCCCAGTGAGAGGAGAGCCGAGCCAACCGTGGGAGCTGTGTGTCAGCAAAGGAGAGGTCTTGTGAGACTTCCTTGTTTTTGCCACGCAACAGGTTGTGACCCTCAGCTTCTGCCAAGAGAAGCTAGAACTCCCATGGGAAAATTCTCCCAACACTGACAGACCTTTGAAAATCAAGGGTTAGTTACCTGAGGACTTTAATAGAAGCTGGTATGAGTTAATACTCAGCAAATATTTGTTGAGTACAAATATCTACAGCTTTTCTTCCCTTCTTTGTTCCAAAAAGCCACAGCACCTATTGACTACCTAACCTTCTGAAGAGCTGAGTAACTGCTATTTTTCCTCCTTAATTCCATTTCTGAGTTCACCTCCCACCTCATTCTTTAGAGATCACAGCGTAGCTAAAGATGTGTTAAACTCACTGCTAAGCTGCTGGCAAAACTCCAGAGTGCCCCAACCAGATTAAAAAGTAATTGGGAAATGTTTAACATAATAAATAAAAATACAATACAGTACAGATAATGTACCATTGTACTTTTCTAAGTAGGGATTTGTTTCTCTTTGACTTTAACAACGCTGCTGTGGCAGACAAAGGACTGTGTTTGGAGTTAGAAGACTCAGGTGGGAATCCAGAGGAATGTAAACTCCTTTACTGTACAGAATGTTTCAATTTTGTCTTTGTAGAGGCAGTTAGGTATCTTGGTGGATAGAGCAATGGATGTGTAATCAGGAAGACTTGAGTTCAAGCCTGGACTCAGATAGTTATTGGCTGTGATCCTGAGCAAGTCACTTAACCTTTGCCTGCCTCAGTTTCCTCATCTGTAAATGGGGATAATAATAGCACCTACCTCCTCAGTCTATCTATGAAGATACTAAGCTAAGACAGAGGCTCCTACTGGCCCAGGGTCACACGGTTGGTTGGTAGCAGAGACGCCAGGTGCGGCCTGCTCTCTTTCTGCTCTATCAGAGGCCTCTGCACTCTCTGGACTGAAGATACTGGGTTGTCATTTTCCAGCCTTCACCTGCTGGAAGCAGCTCAGTGATACACTATCCCTGTCATTGATCTGGTTGGGAATTGGTTCAGATGAAGGCAGAGTGACTGGAGAAGGCGCTGAATAGCTAGACCCAGGAAAATCCAGGTGGGCCTTTAACGATGTCCTCCTTGGATCATTCCCTTAGGTTGGTAAAGGAGGTATTTACCATTCCCGTGCCTGCTGTAAGGATAAAATGAGATAGTATTTTGCAAACCGCAAAGTGCAATATAAAAGCTAGTTATTCTATCACCAGGGCTTAGCCTGTCACCTTTCTTTCACATAGTAGGCACTTAATGCTGTCTTGCCCTGACGTTTAATGCTTGGGGACTTTGGACAGGTCACTTTTCTCTGAGTCTTATCTACATAATGGAGAAAAATAGGACCACACAACCTACCTCACAGCTCTGTAAGGAGGAAAGCACTTTGAGAGCCTCAAATACCTAGAAATGGGAGCTCTCTTGTCATCTCCCTTGGCTTTTCCCCAGTTCTTCCTAGGCCCCATGTTTGTCATATTCATGAAGGAGGGACAGAGGCAGCTGGGATTAGGGAGGGGGCTCAGAGCAAACAGGGGCTGCACTTTTTATGTCCAGGAGAAGAAAAAGCCACAGACAGTTCTTACTTGGCATCATAATTTACAGTTTATTACAAAATTTACATCTTTCTCCCTCCATAAATTCACACAGGCCTTAAATATTCCTTTGGCAGGCTACATGCAAGGCTTCAAAGACATTCAGGACAGTTGCAGGGATAGTTAATAAGCATTTCATTGCTCTTGAAAATGGATAAAGAAGGTCTTTATTTCCTTCGGGTACAGAACGAAGGTGGAGTTTCCCAAAGGCGTCTTGGAAGACCTGTGGAAGTCTGGAAAGGACAGAAGGGTTAGTTCTGACCTTGGTTCTAATGTTCTAGTCACTAGTTCTTAATTCTAGTCATTAATTTCACTTATCCCTCCTAACTGCCCAGTTCCCCACCTCTTTCAGGGCAACTCTTCAGCCTGGACCAGAGACTGTGAGAGCTGATGGGAAACTTAGAACACAGACTTAGAGTTGGAAAATAGCGAATGTCGCAGCTGGAGGGGCCTTAGCACACAGAGTGTTCAGAGCGGGAAGGATGTTAGGGAATATTCTAGTTCTGCTTCCTCAGTCTATGCATGAAGATACTAAGCTAAGACAGAGGCTCCTACTGGCCCAGGCTCACACGGTTGGTCAGTAGCAGAGACACCAGGTGTGGCCTTCTCTCTTTCTGCTCTATCAGAGGCCTCTGCACTCTCTGGACTGATGACACTGGGTGGTCATTTTCCTCAGTAATACACTATCTCTGTCATTGATCTGGTTGGGAATTGGTTCAGATGAAGGCAGAGTGACCTGAGAAGAAGGTGCTGAACAGTTAGAACCAAGAAAATCTAGGTGGGCCTTTAACAATGTCCTCCTTCCTCTTTGGCTCATTCCCTTAGATGGGAACCCATAATGCAGAACTGAGAGGGAAAAAGTCTGCCCAAGGGACAGGGAATTAACCGACAACCAAATAAACACCAGATATCTGTCAGGCTTGGCAACAGTAATCTGAGGAGCTATAAAAAGCCTCATTCTTGTGGGTCTTAGTAGAGAAAGGACCTGACTCTGAAGGAGGAGACCACCTTCAATCATCAATCAGCTGCGTGAATGTGGGCAAGTCACTTAACTTTCCTGGGACTCAGTTTCCCCACATCTAAAATGAGGGTTTGGACTCGGTGTTCTCTACACTACCTTCCAGTCAATCAATCAATCAACCAATCAATCAATCAATCCATAAGCATTTGTTAAGCACCAATTATGTGCCAGGCCCCGGAGATACAAAGGGTGAAACGACTCCTTCTCTAAAGGAGTTTACATTCTGTGTTGTCTGGTCTCTTCTAGCCCTAGTCCCTAAGTTCCTTCTTCAGTGAAAGGCCCTGGCAGGTGGCTTCTGGCATAGCCTGGAGGCCGGTCTCAAAGATTCTGTCCCTGACCTTGTAAGGAAGCCCTGCTTGGCCACTCTCCTCTGAACTGATGGGCACTAGTGATGCTTTCTGAAGGGCACCAAGACCAAAAGATTTCAGGAGAAGGAGTCAATACTCCCCAGTGCTCTCCCACCACCATTGGCCATGGCCTGATATTTCATCCTTCTCCTCAAAAGCTTTGATTCTTGTTAAAATACAAAGGACTTGGGGCACCTAGGTGGTGCAGTGTATAGAGCACCAGCCCTGGAGTCAGGAGGACCTGAGTTCAAATGTGGCCTCAGACACTTAACGCTCCCCAGCTGTGTGACCCTGGACAAGTCACTTAACCCCATTGCCTAGCTAAAAAAAAAGAAAAATACAAAGGACTCAGGAACAGGAAGCTATTAAGGAGGGAGAAGGGAAAGACATAGCAGGAAGAGGCTGAGAGGCCAAGGAAACTGGCCTGCTTCAAACTGTGCTGAGGGCCAGTCCAAGAGCAGAGGGTAAGGGTGGTCAGAGGTCCCAAGGAGGTCCAGGCTGGACGACATGAGACCCGGTGAACAGCAGAACAGTAACTGGGCCACCTAGAGGCAAAGCAGGTGCCTGAAGTCCTAGAAGGCCTGACGGGGACAGAGAGAAAGGGGATGAACCTATGATTTCTCAAACCTTGGCCTTTAAGTTTGGCTGTTTTCCACCTCCAGCGACTCAGGTCCTTCACATCCCAGGTCCCTGTGAGGGAGCGCTCCTCCACAGAAGCCACTGTCCCCAGACTCTGGAGCAGAGACTGTTAAGAAACAAAGACATCAAGTGTTGAGTTATTTGCAGGACCTGCAGGAAACTTCTTTGAAAAATCTGTTTAAAATAAAATGGGCTCGGGCGGGGGCGGGGGGGGGGTGGCGGCTAGGTGGTGCAGCGGACAGAGCACCAGCCCTAGAGTCGGGAGGACCTGAGTTCAAATGTGGCCTCAGACACTTGACACTTACTAGCTGTGTGACCCTAGGCAAGTCACTTAACCCCACTGCCTAGCCAAAAACTAACTAAATAAAATAAAATGGGTTCCACCAAGAAAACAATAATGGCTACAACACTGTAAATGAAAGACGACCGCCACCAAATGTCTGAAAATGAATGCTGTGAAATCACAAAGAACAAGCATGGTTCCAAAGAAGAGATATGGGAAGACATCTTCACCTACTGCTTTGCAGAGGTGGGAAGTCCCCAGGTGTGGAACACTGCACACACTTTCACAACTTTAAAAATATATTGATTGGTTTTGCTGATTGTCTTTTTCTTCTCTTCTTCTTTTTTTTTGGTGAGGCAATTGGGGTTAAGTGACTTGCCCAGGGTCACACAGCTAGTAAGTGTCATGTGTCTGAGGCCGGATTTGCACTCAGGTCCTCCTGACTCCAAGGCTAGAGGTTTATCCACTGTGCCACCTAGCTGCCCCCTTCTTTTTTCTTAAAAAAATTTTTTGTTGTTGTTGTTATATAGGATGGCTCAGTGGGAAGGAAAGGAATATAGGGGGAAATTTAGGCAACAGAAAATCAAAAGACATCAGTAAAATTCATAGTGGTGCAAATAGATGGGTCATAAACTTTAAGTACACAATTTGGGCCTGAGACTCCTGCTATAACCTGATCATAGTTTGGGATGATCAGTATTACGCTCCCAAATCGACACTACCTGAGGCAGATCACTGAGCTGGGGAGTCTAAACATCTGACCCACTAGGGCATTTCTGAGGTCCTCATGTAGCATGGCTTCTCCCAGCAAGCACGGATAACTGAGAGTTAACTATGGTCCCAAAGAAGAACATTCACACTGAAGGGGCAGATTAGAAACAGTTCCAGTTTTCTCTTATCTGGGACAATAATAAAGATAGTAATCAATCAATGATTCAAAAATTGTGCCCAGAATCATGGTAGGTGCTGAGGGGGATGCTACAATGGGTAAGATACGGTTCCTGCCTTCACAATCTGGATGGGAAGGTTAAGACACGGAAAGATGGAGGAAAAAACAATAAAGGTCATTGAGCTTCAAGTAGGGGAAAAAGAACCTTAGAACTGGAAGCTTAAGGTCATCGAATTCAACCTTCTTGTTTTACATATGACGAGACTGATACCTATATAGGGCCACAGATTTAGAGTCAGAAGTCCTCCAGCCCCCTCATTTTCACAGATGAGGAAACTGGGGAGCAAAAAGGTTAAGTGACTTGCTCAAGGTCACACAGATAGCAGGTATCTCAGGCTGGATTTGAACTCAGATTTTGCTGATCCTAGGCCCAGCATTCTATCTGCTGCACCACCTATTTATACGGCCACAAAATTGGAGTCAACGCACATGCTCAATGATGGGAATAGCTGAATAAACTGTCTCACTATTGAACTTGAATATTTATAATGAATATTTACAATGAAGAGAGCAATGGAATTGGAGCTGGAAGATTGGGTCAAATCCTGGTTCTTGTATATACTTCCTGGGCAAGCCACTTACCCTCTGGGGTCCTCAACATCCTCATCTGAAAACTAAGGAAGTTGGAGTGGATGACCTTTAAGATCCCTCCAATCGTATAATTCCAAACAATTCAACAACAAAGAAATGTGCAAAAACTTCTGTGAAGACCCATACTAAATGGGTCTAAAAGAACGAAAAGAGCAATGCAGACACACTGGCCAAAAACTCTACAAAAGCACAGATGGAAAAAAGAGGCAGGAAACAGAGCAAATGAACTGCCTTCTAAAAAAGTTCCCATCATGCTATTCTTATTTTTCTCTCTTAATAAAACATCAATTGTTCTGATTTTACAGGACTATTAGGCTTCAGTTTCATAGTTTGTTTATTTGGATTTTTTCCAAGTGTTAAGCTTAGAATGAGAGGTTATTAGGAGCAGGTAGGTGGCACAGTGGTACAGCACCAGCCCTGAAGTCAGGAGGACTGGAGTTCAAATCTGGCCTCAGACCAAACACTTGACACTTACTAGCTGTGTGACCCTAGGCAAGTTACTTAACCCCAATTGCCTAAAAGTTAAAAAAAAAAATTAAAAAAAAGAATGACAGGTTATTTTAAAATAAAGGAATAATGGGCAGACCACTCTTGCCCTGATGAAATATCCTCCGCCTTTGGCCCACCCTACGGCCCCCGGGCATCTGCCTTGGTGAGGCCGGAACACCCTAGCTACATGATGTTGGGCAAATCAGTTACCTGTTCGGACCTCAACGTCCTAACCTATAAAATGCAGATGAGGACAGGTAAGGGCTGCTGAGAGACAACCAGCTCCATCAGCTGAAAGCTGCTCTAAAAACATGAACTGCTCCACATTGTGGAGGAGGAAAGGCCTACGGCTGGTGAACCTGGAGCAGTAGCAGTACCTCATTTTCCCCTTCTCTGCATGAGGCCCTCCCTGCTAACAGACCCCTCAGCTGCAGCCCTAATAATGCTCACGCAGTTAGCGGCAGAGAAGGGGAGCCGGGGAGGGCTCTCAACTGCAAGGCAGCTTCTGCGCTGGGGCTGGTTCAGCCACTTACTCACTATCTGGCCTCAGATGAGTCACCTTCCTTGCCTGAGCCTCAGTTTACTTCACTAGAAAGACTCTTCTCTACCTCAACACTACAATTCTAGGAGGCTCCTCAGCTAAGGGAGAGGCCGGCCTTGAGAAAAGCACTTTGAAGTGGTCCTTGCTGCTGAACTTCCTGTGGTGATCAAATTTATAGGCGGGAATCAATACTTCCTGTGTACTAGGCATTGGTAAACATTTCCTGTTTGGTGGTTTTATGCTACTGCCACAGCTAATAGATAACTGAATCAATCCTTTTCCATCTGTGATTCAATCAACCCACCAACCCATATGGAATCTCCTTCACAAATCTTTCTAGGAGGCATCCCTCCCTCTCATCACCTGCTAAATGCCTACTCATCCTTTAAATCCTAACTCAAACACCACTTCCTCTATGAAGCCCTCCCTGATCCCTTGGTCTGTAAACTTCAGGCAGCTTCCTGAGACTTTGAGTTGCTACGCAAGTGCCAATCTGAATTTCCATACTGGAAGTTTCCTACACTAATGAAGCCTAAGTTTGATTTTTAAAAAATGTCATATCCCCATTCCAGACAGTAAACCCCATGAAGACCAAACCATTTCTTATTTAAACTTTGTTTCAACTTGAGTACCTAATAGTATTGAGTACTGTGTACATATTAGGTGATTAATAAATGTTTCTGGAAGTGAATTAATAACATCCCTGACAGATGGCAGCTGCATCACACATTTAGAGAAGGAAGGAAATTTTGAGATGAGAAAACTGCCTTCACCAATGCAGGTCAGTACATTTTATGTACCTTAGAGTCATATAGAGATAACATAAAGTGACCTAGGGGGCAACTAGGTGGCATAGTAGATAGAGTACCAGTCCTGGAGTCAGGAGAACCTGAGTTCAAATCTAGCCTCACTTACTAGCTATGTGACTCTGGGCAGCTATTTCCATCCTGCCCTGAAATGAGATTTTGCAGTGAAAAATGGAGGTGTCCAATGCACCTGCATTACAGAGTACCGGTGCTTTCTCTCAAGGCTGGCTGTAGGGACAGAATACAGCTAAGGTCTAAAGCTAACAGGAGGAGACCTAAAGAAACCCTCTATTAGCAGGAAAGGAAGTGGGTGGTCTGATCTCAGAGATGTGAAAAGAAAGCATCCAGAGAGAAGAAACCTAAGTATTGCCAGGCCCAGCTCCCATGACCCAAGGAAAGGGAAGTGGTATGTCACTCAACCAAAAGGATTCTGTCTCCAGGATGTGTGCTCTCATGGTGGAGGGTCCTTGAAGAGGACCATATGCGTCCTGTTGGGGCCTCATGAGCATGGGGGAAGGAGAAAAAGAGTGGAGGGAAATTGAGGAGCTTGTATGAAGTAATTCAGAGTCCAGAAAGCAGCACCCAGAAAACAACATACACAAGGACCTCGGCACGATGGAAAAGAAACAAGGCTGAAGATACCAGACCTCAGACCTATGGAATGATCACTCTGGATCCCACAGGACTGAAGAACAGGAGACAGATGAAGAAACACACAGCAGAGAGGCATGTGGGGCCAGACATGGTTAAGATGTTAAGTTTGTTCTGCTTGACTCTGGTACTTCATTATAAGAGAGAGAGCTTTTAGGGAGGGCATGGGAAGACACAAGAAAATGACAGTGTTTTATCATTAGAGTGTAAGCTCCCTGAGGGCAAGGACTGTCTTTCTTTTTCCTAGTATGTGCTTCCCAGTGTTAAGCACAATGCCTAGCAGCCTCTAAGTGCTTAATGACTGCTTGCTGAATATCTAACTTGCCATAAGGTTTTCTGGGTGTTTTCACTTGTACTTTGACCTGGGGAAATCACAACCTCTCTTGGAATTTTGCTGATCAATAAAATCATGATGATAATACTTGTGTTACTAAAAAAGAAAATCTTTGTAACCTTCAAAAAGGCACTTTGGTAGCTATTATTTTTTTCTACCAGGCTGGAAAGGTTTGGACATGATGATTGTATCACCAAGACTTGGTGGAATGAAAACCATGAAAAGGCCATGTCTCTGGATGAGTATATCTTATTCAAAAGAAATAGGAGTTGGGTGGCCTTGTATCTTAGGAAGGTACATTCATATGAGGCAACCTAGGAACTAAAGAGAAGAAGCATGATAATGAATATTTGGGTGAAAGCTGATGGAGGGAAACATGATTTGTCATTAGAGTATACTATAGTCCACGTGGCTTGAGAGAGAAAATAGATAAAACATACAAGACGCCTAACACAGTCACACACTGGGGTGAACTCTGGATTTGATTCCAAATCTCTGGAGTTTTCTGGTCCAGTCTTGTGATGAGGGAGAACTTGTTGGTGTGGCAAGACCCTCCCTCCAGGCTTATCAGTGAAGCTTTGGAACATGGGGAATTATGTGTGATGTTGACCAGTTAAGCTAGCAGGTTCAGAGGCAGGACCTGAACCCAGGTCTTCCTGGCTTCAAGGCTGCTCCTCTACTCACTATGCCAGGCTTCCTCTAATTTACCAGCTGTTGTGAGGCTGGGTCTCTTAGGTGTGAGGTTTGCTTCAGGTAGTCCCTCTCACCCCCTGCTCATGGCGGGATTGCAACAAGGTGAAAGGAGGAGGAAGAGGTAGGTGTTACCTTCAGGTTCACAGCTACTGGCTGGGAAAGATCTGGGTCTTCTCCTGCCTCAAATAAATGGCAGATCCGGAGTAAGACCCGGCTGAGGTCAGGCCCACTCTCCTTTCTGTGACCTTGAAAAAGAGAACAAAGCAGGGAGCAGATGGTCAATCATAGCATCAATTATTCAATCAAACAAGGGTTTATGAAGCCTTTTCCACTACGCTGAAATGGGAGGGATACAAAGAAAGGCAAAAACATGACCCCTGCCCTCAAAGAGCTCATCTTTAGATGAACTATCACATTTAGAGTTGTTACAGGTCCAGAAGCTAAGGGACTTGTCGAGTAGTAAGGAGCAGAGCTGGAATCTGAACCCAGGTCCTTGGATTTCAAATCTAACAAGTATTCTTTGTGCTCCTCCATCTTGCCTCTTGCTCAGAGGAAGCATCCAAGGGGAACGTTGCACAAGGAGTTTGCCAGCATGAAAGGGGATCTACATTGACCTCATTCTTTCTCGAGGGCGCAGCTTTTCCCATCCAGGGACAATCTGTGTGCTACCTCTTCCAGGAACCCTCGCTGAATACACCTGCCCACAATGACCCCCTCCCTTCCCTCAGCTCTTGGTGAACTTCACAGTCTGACACATAATTCAGTGTTTCGTTGTTTTCTAACTGTCCCAAGGTTGCTTTTATTGCCTCAAGTGCACTGTGAGTATCCTGAGAATTGGGACTGCAGTCGGATGGAAAGAAGCCTCTCCCTGGTGGCAGACAATGTCAAATATCGGCTATGGCGTGGGTGACCCTGGGCAAATCACGTCTCTCTCTCTGGGCCAAACTTTCCCCATCTTTTAAACGGTGCTAAGAAAACCTATACTACCTAGAAGCGCTTTTCTGGGTGCAAAGAATTAGAAATTGAAGGGATGCCCATCAATTGGGGAATGGCTGACCAAGCTGCGGTATGTGATTATGCTGGAATACTATGGTGCTTTAAGAAATAATGAGTAAGATGCTCTAGGAAAAATCTGGAAAGACTTACGTGGGCTGATAACAAAGTGAAATGTACTATGTACAAAGTAACAGCAATGTTGTAAGGTACTGTAAGATATTGTAAGACATCTGTGCAGAGTAACAGCAATATTGTAAGATAATTGTGAATGACCTAGCTATTCTCAGCAATACAATGATCCAAGACAAATTGGAAGGACTTATGATGAAAAATGCTATCCATCCCCAGAAACAGAACTGATGGTGTCTGAATACAGACTGAAGCATACTTTTTTTTAACTTTCTTTGAGTTTTTTTTGTTGTTGTTGTTCTGTCCTACATTTTCTTTCACAACATGACTATTATGGATATATTTCACATGACTACACATGTATGACTTATATCAAATTGCTTGCTTTCTCAATGGGGGTAGAGGTGGGGAGGGAGGAAGGGAGAGAATTTGGAACTCAAAGTTTTAAAAACTGTCTTTACATGTAATGGGGAAAAATAAAATACTAAATAAAAAAAGTATCTCTTTCTCCACTTCCAGGCTACCATTGACCTTTTAGTGTGTTGAATATGTACTGAGGCAAGGTGGGGGGGAGGGGTGAAAGAAAATTTCTGTTCTAACTCACTATAAATGAATGAAGAATTTTTGAAATTAAATTACTTGGTCATGAGTAACAGTGAGTAAATAAAAAAGAAAAGAAAAGAAAACCTATACTACCAAGTCAGATCTCTGAAAACCTTACAGCACTTCAGAAATGTGAGCTATTATTAGAATGAATACAATCACACATGTTTTATGTCTCATAAATCAGCACTGGACTGGGCACACAGCACTTAAATTCTTAGGCACTGTTGTTACAAACTTATCTTGTTCTGTTTTCTAGAGGGAAAAAAAACATCAATGATAACAGTAAGAGCAACTAACGTTTATATAGCACTTTAAGGTGTGCAAAGCATGCGACTTAGACCATTCCATTCGATCCTCATAACAATCCCGTGAGGTGTGTTATTTGTTCTTTATAACAGCTTAAACAACATTTGTCATTTGTAACAACAAACAAGCAAGTCACACTTCTCTTTATAAATATCAGCTATTATTATCCCACAGAAGGAAGTCTACTTTAGAATGAGTATACATACAAAGATTCCTCAAGGATTTCAGGGAATATGGAGGTCACTTTAAGCTGAAGTCATAGTAATAGAAGGGTTTTTTTTGGAAGAGGGAGTTCTTAAGCTAGGTTTTGAAGTACTACAGAGATTTGGACTCGTAACCAGGGTGACCAGGGGATGGACTTGAAATCAAAGCTCTTAGGGGGCTAGGGAAGTCATTCAGTCATCACAGTCACTAGTAATTACTTAGGGAACTGAGGTAGGATAGTTGCCCAATAAGAACAGTTCCTCTGTCTCCCCCCCCCATCCTCCCAGGAAAGCCTGCCTCACCTTTCTGCAGATTCTGCAGATGTTCTGTGTGGTTACCGCTGTACTGCCACCCAGGGATGCTGAGAATCTGGAGGTGAAGACTGGAGGGGAGGGTTGGAGCATCTTTCTGGAGGTATCCTGGTGGCATCTGGTTATCAACTGCAAGATGGACCAAAAACAAGGTATTCTCCATGATTTGTGAAGAACATGGAAAGAGAGCCGAGACCTAGTAATAGTGTCAGCATTCTGCAAAACTGTGAGCCAACAATTTATTGCCTTCCCACATAACTTTTTCAGTGCTGTTTCTGCTCTACTTTCCTACCTCTGATGTGGGTTCTACAGCCCACCATGTCTGGGGCCTGCTCTAAACTAGGAAAAAAGAAAAAAAAACAAGAAAGTATGCTACATAGTTCAGGTAACTCCTATCTGTCCAATTTAAGTTAACTGCTAATACCAAAAAAAAAAAAACAAAAACCAAACCCCAAACTAAAAATGGATTAAAGAACAGATATCAGCACTGATAATTAACATTTCCTAAAGATGCTAAACTGATGTAAATTAACTGCCATTAAGAGAAATCAAAAGATACTGGAAAATGCCGTAACCAGTAAACCTGGACATCCTTGCCAAGTGGAGAGATCTGACAGCCAAGGGCAACGGTACTCTCCAGTACAATACTGGTTGAAAGATATGATGGAGAAGCAATAGCACTGACTGATAAAAGCAGTGAGAAGCAGTTCAGGAAAAATCCAGTTTTCAGAAAGCTTGGTCAGAAACACAACTCAGAAAAATCATCCTGAGGGCATTCGAGGACAAAATTAGGACAGAAAGAGATGAAAAATTGAAAAGATCTACAGAGAGTTTTATTCTAATTCTCCTCTACATAAATTTTAGCTATGACAGCAAGTTATAATTCAAGTCTATGTAGGAGAGTAGGGTCAAAATAATGGCTATTTCATAGATCACTGATAAAAGTACCGAATTGTAACTAGCTGTTTATTTCTTTAAAAACTGCTTTGTAATAATAAATTTAAATATAGCATTTGTTTCTTGGAAGATTTTTCAAGATTTATATAGTAATATATAGTAATAGTAATAGTAGTAATAAGAATGGCTAGCATTTATATAGTGCTTTAAGGCTTGCAAAGCACTTTACATTTGTTATCTCATATGATGATGATGATGATGATGATGATGATAGCAGCTAACATTTATATAAAGTGCTTACTATAGGCCAGGCACTGAGCTAAGTGCTTTACAATTATTATCTCATTTGATTCTCACAGCAACCCTGTGAGGGTATTACTATTCCCATTTTATGGATGAGGAAACAGGCAAGCAGAGGTTAAGTGACTCGGCCACACAACTGGTAAGTATCTGAGGCTGCATTTGAACTCAGGTCTTCCTGAGTCCAGGTCCAGCGCTCTATCTACTGTGCCACCTAGCTGCCTACTTTAAAAAAATAAATGTGAAAAATTCATGGTTACTAGTTTGAGGCAGCTTAAGTGGAGAGTCTCATTTGAATTTTAGGCAAAATATTCCACTTGTAGTTCAGACTCTGAGAAAAGACCCACCATTGATTACCTGGTGAAGTAACTATTGTACTTGTCCCAATGTTTTAAACCTGCACAATGTTTTGATGGCTCAAACACTTGATGTTTGACCTTGGATAAAGTACTTAATCTTGCTGAGCCTCAGTTTCCTCAACTGTAAAATGACCATAATAATGCTTGGAATACTTGCTTGTCCAGGTTGTTTTGAAGAAGTGCTATTGAAAGGTGAGCAATTTTTACTTATTTCTGCATTGACCTAATGACCTAATGAGGACAATCCCATTTGGGCACCTGGCTCAACACAGGATTTATTACTACAAAAGAACTCTGAAATAATTTAGTTCAGTTCCCTCATTTTAAAGAGGGAGAAACTGAGGCCCAGAGATAGTAACATTTCTTTAGTCACACAGTGAGTGAACAGCAGAGCCAGGACTTGAACTCACATCTTGTGTCTTTAAATTTTGCATTCTTTCTCCTACATCACATTAGGAAATACTTGCCAGTGATTATGATCTGTTTCCCAAATATAGGCTACTGAGTGTTTTGAAAATGGACTCCTACTTACTGGGTAATTCTCCAAATATAACAAATGGTTTGTGTTCCAAAGCCATTCTACTCATCTGATACAGAGCAGTAGTGACGGGCTTGGGTCCTAGGAGGAGCCACAAAGTTGGCTGAACCACTGATTTATCGTTCAAAGTGAGGTTGTAATAGAGGTCCCACTCAAAGTTGTTCCACAGTCTCCTATGTAGCATCACCTGTTAAAAAAAAAACGTCACCTGGGTGGTCACTTCTTCCACTATCCCTCTCAACGAGCACCCAAGGAAAAAGGCCATTCTTCCTTTTACCTCTATCTGCCCATTTCCTTGACTGGAGACACCATGCGATCTTTCAGACAGCAGGACAAGCCTGGTTCTGCTATCTTCAATGAAAGCAGTCTGCACCATGGGATAGTAATTCTGTAGACATAAAAGACCAAGAAATGAAGTGAGCGACTTTGGGCAGAATACAAGCAATACCTCAAAGCTATATGGAAGTCAGAGAGATGTCTAACAACCTCAATTACCCCAATGTGGCACGAACCCAGAGGTAAATCGTTAAAAAAAGACACGAGCTTCTTTATGAGTTTTTTATGAAACTCATGTATTTTAATCTAGGGAAGTTATCCTTAGGCCTTCATTTAGAGTCTATTTACTCTGATAAAAAACTTTAACAAGTCTGAATATGTGGTTAGAATCAGAAGATTAGAAGAGGGCCAGAGAACTCTGCAAGATGCAGTAACACTGATGGCAATGTTCAATGAGAGCTGATAACGATAGAGGAAAAACTGTAAGAATCAGACAAGCTGGCATCTTGGACCATTTAGTATCAGGCTATACAACCTTTATACATAAATTTGGTCACATCCTTCTTCTGTTAAAAAAATCTTCAGTGGCTCTCTATTACCTCCAGGATAAATAACTCTTTAGCTTGATTTCCAAGGCCCTCCATAATATGGAACCAAGCCACCTTTCCAGATTATCTTATAATTCTCTCTCCACAGACACTACACTCTCTGCCTGCTCAACACAAACCTTAGCTCACATGACTCTCTATCCCTGGAATGTCCTTCTTTGTCTGATGCCTTCAAAGCCCAATTCCAATGCTACCACATCCATGAAATAGTTCTTGATGCCAGGGGTCACCAACACCATTCCCCCTCAGACCTCAGACCTTCCTATTGTACTAATGTATTCTTGAGGAGCACGGTTCTCTTCACATGTGTCATATCCACTTATTAGACTGCAGAGCTCCATGTGGACAGGGGCTTCAGATCTTATTTAGACTTTTTATCTGACTCTAGAATCTGGAACTGTCATCTGCATACAGCAGGTGGCTTGTAAATGTTTGCTGAATGAATGAAAAGCCTTAAACAAATCAACAAACCTTAGGACCATCACTGTCTTAAAGCCCAGTGTAATAAGTGAGGCTCTAATTATAACGTTACCTCATTCAGGAAAAGAAAAAATTCTGTTCAGATAAGCTTTAGAAGGCAAGCTGATGGCAAGGTTTGTAAAATGATCCATTTTTTTTCCTGGAAAATAATTTGGTATTATGTGAGAAAAGTCAAAAAACTGTTCATATCATCCGACTTAAGGATCCAAGTGTGTGTGTGTGTGTGTGTGTGTGTGT